CACACACACACACACTCCAGCTACCTTTCAGCCATCTGAAGTATGACTTGGGGAAACATGTAGGAAATCACTTCTAATGATCCCCAAATCTCTAGAGCTGCCACCACGCCCCCCCCTGCCCCCCCAAAATGGCCAGGTGACTTGCCTGCTTGACTCCAAGTTGACTCCTAAATAGCAGAGATGGCCTTCCTATTTCAGGCTTCAACCTCCACATCCAGCATTGCACCTGCTTATCAATCACCATCACCTCAAATTTTAAGAGATTCACCCTGTTCTTTGGCAGAGGCCCAGTTGGCCTTTAGCCAAAGGCAGACTCTCAGGGGATCATGGGGGCCAGGAGTAGATGTCCGTCAGAGTGATGTCATTTGGGTTGAGAGTTCAGGCAACATCTTTACCCCACCCCCACCTCAGGCACCCTCGTCCTCACTTTCACCCCACACTGCAAGAGATCAAGGCTTTGTTGGCCAACAGAAAAGCACTGAATTAGGGATTTAAAAGACCTGAATCCTGGCTGAGTGGCCTTAATTTCATCAACTTCTGGCCCTCAGTTTACCCATCTCCCAAATGAGGATTTGTCTAGACGATCTCCTAGGTCTCTTATAATTCTGACCCAAAATCCTATGATCTTATTTGTTAGTGGCCTGAATGGGCATGGGAGCAGGGCCAGGGCCAGGACTGGGGACTTTCTCTGGGGAGCCTGCAGGCAGTGTTTCCAGGGCTTGCTGCTGGGATGGGGTGCTAATGGCATTCACATCCCATCTCTCCCACACCAGGTACATAGTGTTTGAAGGAGAAGAAGGCCAGGATGCTGGGGGCCTCCTCCGAGAGTGGTACATGATCATTTCCCGAGAGATGTTTAATCCCATGTACGCCTTGTTCCGGACCTCACCCGGCGACCGGGTCACCTACACCATCAATCCCTCCTCCCACTGCAATCCCAACCATCTCAGCTACTTCAAGTTTGTCGGGCGCATTGTGGCCAAGGCTGTATATGACAACCGGCTTCTAGAGTGCTACTTCACCCGATCTTTCTACAAGCACATCCTGGGCAAGTCAGTCCGGTGAGGAAATGGGCATCCTGCCCTATTGGGCCTGGCTGGGACCAGTGCTGCTCCCCTGCCCCCCAGCTCCTCTCACCCTCTTTTCATAGCGGGTTGTGCTTGTCTTTAGGTACACAGATATGGAAAGCGAGGACTACCACTTTTACCAGGGCCTGGTTTACTTGCTGGAAAATGATGTTTCCACTCTTGGCTATGACCTCACTTTCAGCACTGAGGTAACTGGGTGGAAAGATGCACTGCAATTGTTTTTGAGCCCGTGAGATCCCATGTCTGGGACATTTCCCCTCCTCCTCACCCATGGGAGGGCCTCCATCCCCCACAGCCTGTGGTTGTGACATTGGTAAACCGAGCTTCCCTGTGAGACCCCCTAAGAGTTTGGGTGGGTAGGGAGTGACCAGGCATCTATGTAGCACCTATTATGTGCCAGGCTCTGTGCTAAGCTTTTGCAGATATGATCTCATTTGATCCTCACAACCACCCTGGGAGGGAGGTGGTGTTCTTATTCTTACTTTGCAGCTGAGGAAACTGAGGCAGATAGGGGTTAAGTAACTTGCCTGGGGTCACAGTCAGTGTCCAAGTCCAGATTTGCACTCAGGTGGTCCAGTCTTCTGTACGCTGTGGCACCACCTTGATGCCTCAAGAGAAACAGTTCTCTAGGCCTCAGTCACTTTAAGTAAATCAAAACCCAAAAAAAGCCAATGGTCTTTGTGCCGGGTGGCATGAGGGCCCCTGCCCATCTGGCCCAGACACAAATCCATCTACTGGAG